TAATTTCTATTTCTCGTAAAAAACGGAGTATTTGAAAGAAATAAAAAGTTTTAATAAAAAGCGCACATAATACACTCGCCTTGGGCTCGTGCAAATATGATACTCTTTTAAAAACTCATTCGTKTGAATGAATTCAAAACGTTGGCCTCGAAAGTSACCACATATTCTTATTAAACTGTATTTGGTCATTAATTATTTAGATACGAAAACAATGCAGTAATTAATTATAAACAAATTAGCATGGAAGCTTTTAATAATCGATTAGCAAGACATTTGAAATCAACTATCGAAGCATTGATCATTATTATTAACATGAKATCAATCACTAAATATCATTACAATCGATGCTGACGAGACTTTCCAGAGTTTATCTTCAGCATGACTTAGAAAGAGACTAAACACAGTTAAAATCAACAATCGAACCTTTGATCAAACATTCTAGAACAATTATAGGTATGGACAGCTGATAACAAACTTGAYTATATCAGTTAAGGTGAAACGCTACTGACRAAAAGAACTTTTAATCTCATTGGTTAATACTTTAAATCAATACTGCGACCCYTTAGGGGGGAGGGGTGGAGTACACTTTCGGGAAAATTGATCAGCAATCTTTAATTAGTATTTGCAATATGCGAGAAATTTGCCGAGATTGTTTCAGCGTTCAAGATGAAAGAACGATAGTCTTAGCGCGGATCGGCATACATGACTYCGTGTTGACAGGAAGATTGYTTGATAWAGTTCTTATCGTTTGTATCAAATAAAATACATAGTTTCTTGATTCAGGAAAAAGATGTATGATTAAATGATTAAAAAGTTACAATCCTTATGCACTAGATGTCGCACCGACAACAGAAGGGAATTAGCGTCCTGGAACAGACTCTTTGTTGAAAGCATAAAGAGATAATTAGCGGTGGCATCCGTGTTTCGATCGTGTGAAAAAGTTGAGATATAGAATGTCAAATAATGGAGTGCAAACTTTAAAATCGTGAAAAAGTAGAGTGATCGTATTTAAACCGTGCAACTGTACAAACTAAATAGTGCTATTTAGTTGTATTTAGTAAATCGTGCATGCGATACGCAAATTAAATTGAATTGATACAAATGAAGCATTCAATACCGTCTTGCTTCAGGTCCACTTTTAGTACAAATTAGCACTACTTAGATTTTGTACAGTTGCACAGTTTAAGTGCGATCACTCTAACAAAGGAATTCACATAAAATCAGTACCATTTTGCACTATTTAATTACTAAAGTTTTCCAGGTTTTGATTTTTGCACTGTACGTCCGAAACGTTAGAAAGTTCTCACGAGTAGATGTAATATGGAATTCACATGATCATCTAGGAGAAAAAAATATCATTTAAAAATGTCACAGTGTAGCTTCTACCGTAATATTATGCAGCACGAATTTTTTACATGTACGAAGTTTTAAACAAACAAAAAAACAGAAAATGCGAAATCAAATCGTACGTGTAACATGCGATCGAAAATCGTATTTCCAGCATGTTCGAAACTCGACGATCGCCGCGACAATCGCGCTGCAAAAATCGCAAGTGTAAACGGGCCTCTAAGCAATATCTGAATCTATCTAAGTCGGAAACGTCACATCTAAGTTGCGCGCGTGTAACATGTTGCGCAGAATTACATTGTGCAAATAAGACGCGGTACCTTCTACAATCAACTTGAAGTCGAGTTGTTGGAATGTTAACACTATACCAAAGAACCAAAAGCGACAAAATACACACGCCAGTCTTAACTAAAACCATCCATTACACTCACCTTTAACTGGACGCCAAGGTTGTGACCTCCATTATGATTCTTGCTGCGGGAATATGATTCAAACTGCTGCAAACAAACTGATAGGAACTTCTCTATCGCATCTGTATTCGCAGTTTCCTTTTCGCTTTTTGTTAACCTCTCAGATAAAAGCTCTGAGTCTGAAGACGAGTGCCTTCTTCGTCTTGGAGATGAGAATTTAAAAGGTGAATTAAAGCCTTGAAGATTCATCTCTGATTCCAAGCACTTTGAGCAAAGTCCAGAGCCGTTTAAAGTCGTCATTTCAAGTTGTTTTGAAGTGTCTAGGATGAAAAGAAGTGAAGCTGAAGCACGGAGGATTGAGGGAATGTTTTTAGCAAAAGGAATGATCGAAGCGATACCGTGAGCCGATTGCATGTGGTCGCACGCGCCAGAATAGCCAACAAACCATCAATTAGTGAACGCGATAGATGGCAAACTTGCAGAAAYCATCTTGAATTGACAAACAAGTAAAGTAATGAGCTTKACCATTGGGTAATACAAGGCACTCGATTTCCTTTTGCAAGCTAATTGAATCCTTCTAAGATAAGTTACACTTTACGTTCTACTCAAGCACGRAAATGATATAAGAACTTGAACGACTCCTTTTTAACCATCAGAAAAACCGCGAATTAATTTTTCAATAGCTTGAATTCTGCTCTTTCTTTGAAGGAATTATTTATTAAATGTTAAGACCTCCTAGCTCTCGAATAATAATGTTATCATGAAGATCGTTGATCTGTTAAACTCTGTTGATTTTAGGGCTTCTTTGTGAAGTAATTTATGGCTCGCAAATCAACTTTTTAAGTTAATTATGATGGACTTTGAATAGATAAGATATCACGAGCGCTGCGTATACAAACAGTCATAAAAAGAGCTTTTTTAAAAAAATTGAGATAGCTATCGATAAATCGAACGGAWGCTTGATTATGTTCGCGAATTAAAATCCTTGATTCACCTGTTGTCTTCAAAGAATTTAATTAGCTATTCARCAATTGTCTCAAGCGCGCTTTTGATTTTTCCTTGAATTCCTTCAGAACAACATAAAAACGATTCGGACGTCGACATTACACGAAAACTAGGCATAAAAGTTAATAGAAAGAGATAACAACATTAACGTCCTAGTATTAGTTGCGAAGATGATTTTTTAATAGAATACTCGATATATCRCTATTTCAAAAAACGTTGTCGGGGGAAACGSCGAACGGCGAWATTGTTGAACKGAGAATGAACGACCGAAAGGGACTATGGTTACGCTGCTTTGATAAAGAAAATTTCACTTGTTTGATTCGCCTCGCATAGAAATGGAGACTAAATATAGCCAATGTTTACCACAGACCATCTTACAGTATAAATCAGTTGTTATTGCCTTTCAATTAGCAAAACCCATGGCTACTTTCGGTCGTGCAATCGCAGTTCGACAATTGACATTCGCCATTTTAGCCGACAATAATAGATATATAAAAGGAAACACCAAAAAGAAAACATTTTTCTTCTCTTGAACTTGTGACTGCTCTTCCGTTTGCTGTTACGTTGAAATCGTTGTTTTTTAAGCTTTTAAATCGGGTATGTTTTTTGTCTTATGATAGTGAATGTGATTGCGTTGCTTCCGACATACAACAGCCAATCGAGCTGCATCACCTTAAAAAAGAAAAAAAACAAAAAACAAAACAAAACAAAAAAAACTAGAAATAGTACGTTGTCATGATTGACAACAGATTCATTGAGCGCAATACAAAATGCATCAATGTAAACACAAGGCCTGAAAACTTGAGCGTCCAACCCAATCAAAGAGAGTTGCATTTTCCATTCGGCTGCAAATGAATACTTTGCGAGTAAACAAAATATTACTGACCAATAAAAACCTGTAATTTCTTTGCATACAGGAATTTGAATTAAGTTTCAAGAGCTGCTCCGTGTACATGCACGATTTTTTGAATGTGTTAATAATTGGTGTTGGTTCTCTTGAGGATGAAAAATTGTACGAAAGCAAGACCACTGAGAGAGGACCGAACATAAATCTCATGTTATGTCGTAGCAAGGCGGACTTTGACGAAATAGCAAACTAACAGCGGTGATAATAACTGACTTGTTGGCGCCTGGACCCGCGATATTTATCAAACGAACTAGATAAGGTACAAATCATTCCTATAAACGGCGAATTCTGCATATATTTAAAATATTCAATATAAGTGTGTTTGTTTATCGGGAAGAGCAAGTTTAAAGTCTTTCCAAGAGAGCATGCATTACTGGTTTAGTCTTGTTTGCACGAGGTTTTGAATGCAGTCTCTTACACAAATTGTACTTGAATTGATAGTTTGTTCACTAAATCCTAAAATTATAGGCCGCAGGGTTGGGTTGTAGAATTTCGTTCTAAGGGGGTTAAAATAAGGGGCAAAGGAAATAAGTCATGACGCGGAGTTTGAACTGGAGGACAAAAAAGTACGCCATGCATTGTGAACTTAACACTGATTCGTTTTCGTGGCATTTTTGTATTGTTGTTCATAATGATATTTCCTTGAGGACAGAACAAAGACGCTACGAAAACGAATCAGTGTAGACGAAGCGCAACGTTTTCGTAGCGTTTTCGTATCAGTTTTTCAATCCCTTGAGAATAGAGAACAACACAAAAACGCCACGAAAAAGGATCAGTGTGAACGAGGCCTAACGTTTTCGCAGCGTTTTTGTATAGTTTATCATTTCCTTGAGGACAGGGAACAATAAACAACGCTACGAAAACACATCAGTGTGAACAAAGACTAATATTTTTGTAGCGTTTTCGTATTATTTTTCATTTCTTTGAGGACAGAGAACATTACAAAACGTGGACGAGTCTCGACGTTTTCTTAGCGTTTTTGTATTGTTTTTCATTCCCTTGAGGACGGAGAACAATACAAACACGCTACGAAAACGTATCAGTGTGGAAGAGGTCCCACAAGCAGATTTTATTCCTTTTTTATCATCTATACTATCTATTTTTCTCTTACCTTTCAAAGACTCGTAGTTTTCTTGAGTCGTAAACTTCAGGTATTCGTGGTTGTCTAGCAACGCACCACATCGAGGGCAGTGGGTTTGATCTTGCAGGCTCATCTGAAAGTTAACTCAAAAACTGAATACGATACAGCAATGTTCACGKTGTTCCTTTGGCATAAATATAAAAGAGTGAATTATCGAAAGAAATGTATAACTGGTATGGAAGGATGGACAGACCAAATCAGAAGTACGTTTTCTATACGTACACTAGTAATTATAAATACTACTAAATAGTGTTGATTATACAATAGGAAACAAAGGAATTTGTATAATTTATCACCTATTTTGTAGTATTTATATTTCAAGCATTTAGTGCGAGCACTCTATTACATAATTACTTACAATAACTGAGGAAGAATACAATCTAAGCTTATTTAAAAACGGTAATTTTGGCAACTAGGCCACTATTGGTTTTGCTTTAAAAGTGTGATTTTTTAAAAGTCCGCTTAAAGAGGGTCTCAATGGGGTTAACCGTGAGCCGTGAAACGGCTGAAAAATTAGCCGTGAGGCGTGAAAATGAGAAAAAATTAGCCGTGAGGCGTGAAAAAGTCAAATTTTTAGCCGTGAGTCGTGATGAGGACCCCCCCCCCATTGAGACCCTCCTTAAAAACTCCCAACGATGAACTTTGCTATATTTGCCATCCATTTGAAAATATCTAGGAATATATTAAAGAACATGGCTGAATGAACAACTGAAAGAATGGTTGAATGAATAAATTTTTGAATGAATCCAGGGTTGTGATATCCAGTCACGTCATGATTGCAGCTATCACTCMAAACCATGTGTTCGGTTCCCTGGCTTGACTAATACGCTTAACTCAAATCAGACGCTTAGCGTAAAGTCAGAAAGAGCTTAGCATTAAATCAGGATATAGCATATTATGAAACATGGTCGGTCTTAAAATCACAAATACAAGAAATGTTCGGGGAGCTATCGGTATACGGTCGTTACAGTATATTGTTGGTTCGGAAATCGTTCATTAAGTTGCCGGAATACGAACTTTTCTATGAACCAAGACGAACCCCACGCCACATGGTCGGTCTTAAAATCACAAATACGCGAAATGTTTGGGGAGCTATCGGTATACGGTCGTTACAGCAAATTGTTGGTTCGGAAATCGTTCGTGAAGCTGTCGAAATACGAACTTTTGTATGAACCAAGACGAACCCCACGCCACATGGTCGGTCTTAAAATCACAAATACGCGAAAAGTTCGGGGAGTTGTCGGGTATACGGTCGTTTCACAAATTACTGGTTCGGAAATCGTTCGTGAAGCTGTCGGACTACGACCTTTTCTATGTATCAAGACGAACCGTATGAATGCATACTCTTGTACCGTTGACATCTCCAAGTATCTTTTTCCATCAACACCATCTCCAGTGTACCTTAATATATTACATTATACAGAATATGCTATAAATATTTTACATTCTAAATTTCTTCGAGAGAATTAAGAAGTTTTCTAAGGGCCAATAAGTTGAAAAGTATATTAAACGACCCCTTGCTATGCACCCCTAGGCATCTTTAGTCTGTCTTATGTCAACTAGCTTCTTATGTCGTCTCAAGCCTCCTTAGCTGTACTTACCTATCTATCCCATACCCCTCCATGAAGCTTGCTATGCACCCCTAGGCATCCTYAGTCTGCTCTATGTCAWCTAGCTTCTTATGYCGTCTCAAGCCTCCTTAGCTRTACTTACCTATATATCCCATACCCCTCTATGAAGCGTTGAGTTTAGCAAAATATCATATTTCAGAAGGAATTGGATTTATATGTTCTAGCTAAATGATCCAACTAGCTAATAATATTATAAAGTTTGATATTTCTTAAGGTGTCCTGATCATCAAATATGCAATTTTCACGACTTCTACATTGAGTCGCCATTTTGTTTATYAASTCTGCTACAGGATATGAACTGATATAMTAGCAGAAGAGTAGCCAATAAGAGCGCGAATTTGCTCATATCCGGCCATAGACTTTAATAAATGGATTGTTTTGGTAAAATAGAGCGTCTTCTCGTATTTGATTTTCCGACTTCTCAAGAGCCAAGAGAGCAATACAAATCAATATTACGTTATTTCTGTTTCTACTTCAGAAAACGAATCATCTCAGAACATTATTGTGTGAGCTCAATTAACTGAAAAATATTGAAAATATTAATTCATCAAGTTTAAGCATAAGCATGTTGATAAAAATGCCTGATTCTTTGGGTCTGAAATATGTTGTTCAATATTTCTTGCATCAATTCGATATATTAGAATTATGAACATTGGTATACTTAGAAGGTTTTTTCATAGATTTAAAATGTGGTGTAACAAACGATGCTTTTAAATATGTAATTAGAATTTTACCATGAAAAATATTTTTATAGAAATATAGGATAGAAAAGTATCCGAAATCCTCGTGTTAAAGTAACGCTGTTGCGAACAACACTCTAACTATAAGACTCAGTACTTACTTGGTTACGCGAAATGGTCGAAGGTATCAGCTCTCAAAACCGTAGAACTACCATGAAAAAAATAATCTTTCTCGAATAATTATAACTACAGGAACTAGAAAGATTCACATGTACTTCCCAGTAAAGCAGCGAATCCCTCTTTTTCAAACTGAACCTGATCAGTTTAAATCAAATCCCCAGGCGAAGTGACTCTTGACTTCGGTTTCACATCCGAGCGGGGAGGCAAAAACGTCGTAGAGTCTAATCTATGTGTATCAACGGAAGACGATTTAATATCATTAAGCGTACGWAAATATGAATGCGGTTTGCACGCGGAAATTTTCATACGATAAAACTAACCAAATGTATTAGGACAATGTAATGATAACTCGTGGATAGAAAGGTGTTACATATCGTTTACTCGTGGATATGATATCAATGTTTGTAAGTAATTTGTAAATTTATATTTTTTTTATATAATTTTTTCGTTTACTCGTGGATAAGATATCAATGTTTGTAAGTAATTTGTAATTTATATTTTTTTATTTTAAATTGTAATTTGTCGTAATTTGTGCTTCTTTTTCTTGTTATCATCATAAATCCGTTGTACATTTATCGTATACACAGTAAGGGTATTGTTTGTATTTCCCAAATATTCATTTGCTCTACTCTTGCTAGTTAAATGTTTTGCTTTTTAATCAATATTCATCATTCTGCCTTTTAGCGTCTTTAGCTTGCGGTCTTGATAAACATGTTTGTGGTTTTATCTAAATATCCTGTGCATAATCTCGTCTACTTCAGTTCATTATCGCTTGATGATTTAGTCAAAATGAGAAAATGTAACGTTTTAAAAGGCGATGGGAAAAATTGTAAGGATTATTATTGTAAAATGTATTGCAGTCAAAAAAAAATCTAAATAACAATCTAATATAACTCAAAGTATTTTTGTGTAAGTACATCCGTTCCCACCCCTCCCCCATACGGGGAAAATTCGGGATGTAAACCGGCTATGGATTCGGAAACCCGTGAAATATATTTCAGCCTACTAAACTTTAGTATTAAGTTATATTTTGCACGTTTCTCTTCAATTGTCTTTTCCTTGTATCACACATTGACTATAGTTTCACGGGCTTAGTGAAATCCTTAGTGAAACCCGTGGAACGGTTTCTAAAGCAAGTCTACAATTCCAAAAAAAATTCTCAACAATTCATCATTTTCTTTTATTTTTAMTRAYRATCAAATAGTAAACGARARTCGCYTTGCATTGGTTTTTCCGCACCCTTTTATCATGCAATAAARCAATATTATTCTGTGATTGTCTAGGTATCTTTGGTCGAGACATCAAAACAACATATGAAACAATACAGAATGTTCTTTAAGTGTATTTGTTCCCGTGTTTCGTCGTCTACTCGAAAATTACGAGCGGCGTGAATAATTACCGGATGTATAAAGTGCGCGATAAAAATCTTGGCACCACACGGTTCTGAGCGCCTTGAATGACAACGCCCCGATTAAGTCTCTCACGTACCTATTGAGCATCCTCGGAATCCCAGGGGAACGGGAAAACTGGGACGAGCAGAAAGTGAGAAGGGAGGAATAAATAGGACCTKGGATTCCGAGGATGACCTTCATAGAGATTATTGGATGGATGGATAAATTGTTGGCATGGATAAATAACGATGGATAGATGGGTGCCCTGATAAATGATTCTGGTGAAAAATTATTCGAGAATCATCCATTCAGATCGACCTTCTACTTCCTACTCGTTCATCCCTTTCATTCACAAATGCACAAATTTTGGGATGTGATACTTCCACAATTTCATGTCGAAATAGACTTCTGGACCTTTTACGAGGGTCTCAATGGGGTTAACCGTGAGCCGTGAAACGGCTAAAAATTTAGCCGTGACTCGTAAAAATGAGAAAAAATAGCCGTGAAACGTCTGAAAAATTAGCCGTGAGTCGTGAAAATGAGAAAAAAATTAGCCGTGAGGCGTGAAAAAGTCAATTTTTTAGCCGTGAGTCGTGATACGGACCCCCCCTCCCCCCCATTGAGACCCTCTTTTACGTCACTACTTGATTTTCAATGCATTGTGGGATCAGTTTCAAGAGAAAACAAAAGAAATCCGCCATGTT